CTCCACTAATGTCTAGCCTAGTCACCAAGGAGTCAATAACTAGTACTACCTGTATCAACTGTTTAACCTTTCCTTGATTTTTGGAAATATTAACTAATATCTCAATTTGTTGCTAGTAATTTTAGTAACATTATAATCATTATAATGTCTACAATGATAATAACAGCATCAATATTGATTAGAATGAAAATAATAACATTTTCCCCAAAACAAGGTCTATCAATTTACTCCTTGGTGGCTGAGCACTTGTAAAGCCATCTATCTGTAGATTCATTTCACAAAATAAAACTAGAGAGAATACTAAATTTTCCCAGAGGCATTGGGTTAATGATAACTTATAACACTGTGACATTATTGTAATTATTTTCTCACAACACCATGAATTCCTCAAAAGTGGTGTGAGTTGTATTCATATGTTATCTCAAAGATATAGCAAAATATTGGATATCAATCATATAAGTGAATGGTTAATTGTTAAAGGTTAAAAATCAATATAAATGCCCTAGACTTCAGTGGTCATGTAGCATTGCATGAAGGCATATTATTGCAAATGGTAAAGAGAGCAGTGAGTTAATGATTAGGTCCAACAATCAACAATTGTACAGCAGCAGGATGGCATTGGAAAGGGTAAAGAATGGTATAGGTAGAAAGGATGATTAGGTGGGTTAAGGTAGGAATTACCAGAGGAAATTAAATCAAGTGAAGGATTTGTATGTCTGTGGAAGAAGAAATTGCCAGAGGAGAATGTGTGAGATTCTATAAGAATGTCTTACAGGTTGGCAGGTTGGGGAAGGGAGGATAGATGAGGGAAAGCAGAGGTATGGCTGCAGTAAAGCAAGGAGAGGATAACAGGGTGTGGGAGAGAAAGAGGAATATTATATAGGGAACATAAGGGAATTATTTTTGTAACACATTCCTCTCTTTACAAAAGAAAAAGGAAATATGCACAGATGATTCCACAGTCAGCCATTAAAGGCTCATTTTTTAAATGGTTGTGGGGTACATTCACTTTTGCAATTATACAACAAATATCCAGTATGTAAAGTATAAACAGAGGTACACCCATGATATTTTGCTCGTCATATCTATTACTGGGTGATTCATGGTACACCATGCACATCCTTTCTCTTTGTATCCAACAGTATTCTTCATATTACCTATCAAATATATAGTGTGGGTAACTGAGTCTTTTTAATGCATGTGGATATCTGTCCAACGGTCAAAAAGCGATAATAATAATCACATTTTAATGATAAACGACCGGCGCTACTAGCCCAATGCTGCACTGTAAACAATAACAAACGCACGTGGTCGACCTCATGACGTCACGGAAAGGATCAACTTTGATGTGTGCTATAATCTTCGCAGCGGTAGTCATTAGTAAAGTATCAAATGACATACATACTGTAAATGACTCTTTTAAAAAGCGCATTTTTTTTAATGGCCAAAAATAGTGTGCTTGATGGGTTTTGGTATACCACAAACAAGGGTTTTTTAAAACAAATCCAAAGAAAGCCGCGCGCGCGCGCGCGCACACACACACACACACACACACACACACACACACACACACACACACACACACACACACACACACACACACACACACACACAAAACGTTAACTGCTGTAACGTTGCTCTAGTATAGTAGTTTAGTAATATATATGTGTGTGTGTGTGTGTGTGTGTGTGTGTGTGTGTGTGTGTGTGTGTGTGTGTGTGTTCTTCTCTAGTTGTTCTAATATCGGAGATGATCTACGATCTGGGAGTCCGGTCTGCTTTATCGAAATTATCGTATAACGTTTTGATTCGATGTACAATATCGGCATACACAAAATTATTGGGATGGTAGTTTAGTGTTTTAATAGTTGTTTAGAAAACTGAACTTTTTGACATCTTTTTCGTCTCTTTTGACTTTCATTAATTCCTCTCCTTCTAGTGTTCAATATTCTCTTTACCTCGAACATTCTGTGACCATGTCATGAGTATGTGTGTGTGTGTGTGTGTGTGTGTGTGTGTGTGTGTGTGTGTGTGTGTGTGTGTGTGTGTGTGTGTGTGTGTGTGTGTGTGTGTGTGTGTGTGTGTGTGTTTTAACCTTAGTTTGTTGTTACCAAATTGTAGACCAGCCAATTTGAACTCCTTTCCTGACTTTCTATAACCTATTTGAAGTTCTATGTTAGTACTTAGTAGACCTGAGTTAAACTAAACTCTCTTGATTTGCCTCTTTTGTTTCAAATTTTGTGGTTGTTTGTTGTCACATATTATATAACTAAATGTTTATGATTCAAATTACCTAAATACTTATAGATCAAGCATTTTTTGTTGTTGTTGTTGTTTTGTCTTAAAAACCTTCAGTTCAATAATCCATCATATTGTTTGTTTCAAGATTTCAGTTTCAAACTCAATAAAAATAAAGGGATAAATATGTAATTTAAAATTCCAGTATAAAAATTAAGAAAGATCACTGTTATCTCTATCACAGATGCAATATGGTTGTTTAGGTTCACTGTGCTGTAAATCATTTTTTCCTTTCCACTTGGATTATTTGTTTTTCAATGACATAACAAACGAAAGATTGTAAAGACCCAAGTGAATAGCGAAAAAAAGAACATAGGGTAAAGAACATTGAGTCAAAATAAACTTACTCAAAAATAATATTGACTAATATAATAATTATTTTAAGTTATTCATTATTTATCTAAGACATAGTTAAGCTTGTGACATATATGATGACATATCAGATTTTTAAAAATCAAAGCAACACTATTTCTAAGAAAATAAAAAGATATACACCAACATAAATTTTATTAACACAAGAAATTCACTTACAAACATATAGTAATATGGATAATGATATCACATATACTGCATGATCCAGATATCAGTGCAGAAGTTAAAGAAAACACTGAATGAATTTCACATTAGAAAGAAAAAACAATACTCCATCAATTTCACATCAGTTACCAATAATCAGATAACTTGCTTATCTTTAAGTGCCCAAAAAACAGCAAAGAAGAATCATGATGCCATTGTTATATACAAGCAACATCCATATATCAGGAAAGTATCACCAGAAAAAATACTGATAGTTTCTCTCTTCAATTTCATTATTTATGAGCTAGTGAAAGGAAGAGTGGAAGGGTCAGGGAGCATGATAATGAAAGGACAAAAAAAGAGATAAAAGTAAGAGGAGAGACTTAAAAAGAGAGATTAGCCTTTCATTTAGTGAACACTGTAGAAAATCACAAAATCACAACCAGCAATTCATACACCAATATTCAAGAAATATCATACTATCAAAAAGAAATTATCATATTTACACCTTATAAAGCAAAGTCAGACCACCAACTTCTAACTTCTCTTATGTTTCTAGAAAAGGTTCAGAGAAGACAAAATGACGTAATACCAACTTGAATACATGCAGTATTGGGACCCTGTTAAAATTCCGTCTAATATACAAACTAAACTGAATTATGGAAGCAATTGTTCAATTAATCTTGTCAGTATCACAGATATGCTGTCAAAAGCTATTCCACTTTCTAGCTGTTCTGTTCTTAATGTATATTATAAGGTTTGGGCAAATTCATTCACTTCATGATGGGCAAAATAAATAAATAAATAAATAAAAAGTCAAGTTGGAAGCAACAACCTGATAGTTTCTACATTCATTAAGCATTCCCTATTTCTTCTTTGAAAATACCTATACTAAATATAGAAGTTTGTTCCTTTACTGCTCTTCTATCCATATTTATAGCAATAATATGGTTTACGAATATGAAAACCATTTCCCAAAGTGACAATTTCTTTGCAACTGTTGCTATAAGTTTGCAGCTCATCAAACCATATTACTAAAAGTAGGCATGCTCACAAACCACTGATATTCAGAATAATATATTGCTACCAACAGGAAGAAATTCATGACATGCTCATATAAATCCATGGACAGACTCAAACCTTCATACTGGCATTTACAAATCTTGCTGCACAGGCATACAAAACAGGTGAACCATGAATGGCATTCTGATTCATCTGTTGATACCACATCATACGGGTAATGCTGACCTTTCCTCTTCTGAGAAATTTCACATGATGGTCATGCAACCCAATCATGGATTATATGAACACTGTCATGAGAATTCTTCTTCTTATTCATGGTCACTGTTCTTAACATACAGCAACTGCTACCAAGACCTAAAAGATATATTCTACCCATCACTCAATATGCTCACTATAGATTTGCAGCAAAGATTTGCAGACTGCTTTTCCTTTTCCTGTTGCTGCAACTTGTGAAGTAATAATCATATTAATCAGAAGTAAGAGCAAATAAATATTCAAAGTATTCAACCTCTTAAAGAAAGCTGGTTAACGTAGGGAGCATATATCTAGGGCTTTATCCCAAAAGAGAGTTTCAACTCCAGCCCAACTGCCTTGCCTACCTTAAAGATTATCTAGATGGGCTATAGTAGCAAAGCCATTACCTCATATCCCATGTCATAGTACATCAAGAAAACTAGAAATCTGTTCATGTAAAATTCTGGCACCTTAAGGAAGTGCTACATCACACTAAGACAACAGTTACATTACCAGTTTAGTAGGTCAATGAAAGACGAAAATTACAATAAAATAAAAGTGATATAGCAAAGGGAAGACACATTTTCATTTTCTATAAAAAATAAAAAAAACATGTATGAGTAAATGGAAAAAGGAAATTACAGATTTAATGATTCATCATTAATCCAACCAAGTATAAACTAGTAGCAGTGCTAAACATTGACTTTGATAGAAAGGGAAATCTTTTGACATTTGTTCAAATTGTCTAACTAGGTAAAAAGCATTCACAATGTGCAATACAAAAAAAATAAATTGTACCCAACCACTAAATACATTATATTCTTGTCATACATTTTAATCTTTAAAAAAGTAAAAAGGTATTACTGGACTGTAGTAGCAAAACCACATTTTGTTATGTCTACACTATTAATTAAGTAGAAGTTGAAAGCACCACAAATAGTATACCATCTACATCAGTGGTTCTTACACTTGTTACCTCCATGTCCCTTCTATATAGTTTCTAGTTTATTTCTATACATCCCTCTAGCACATACCTTCAACCTAATGATTAGAAAGGACTCCTGAATTAAAATTTAAAACCTGAAAAAGATATTTATAGTATTTTTCACTTAAGAATTTTTCTGCATAACGAACTCCTATCCACTGCAACATAAATTGAGAGAATTCCAAAACTAGGTGAATATATTCCTATTTTTCATCTCTAGGTCCATGCCGCCCCCGCCCCACTCCCTCCACTGGAATGCACACACGCCCAAGAGTAAGAACCACTGATTCCAACATGAATAAGAAAGTAAAAATACAGTCATGAATAAATATATTTGCATTGCCAATCTAATTAATGCGATTGCACCCTGGATTGCAAAAATGGAGAAATCAAAATTATTGATCATAAAGTCTAATACATACAATCAAATGTAATTTACACAGAAAACAACACATAAAATATGGATGTCATATCCAATACTTCATAATTGCACTATATACATCATGGACTTTGTACTACCTATTCAGCAAGTAAAGAAATATCAGAACAGGTAATGTGAAAATAATTTGAGGATCAGTAAAGACCTGGGAAACATCTCTGCACCTTTTAAATGGTTAACGTTTCTATTAAACATAGTGCTATTGAAAAAAAAAGCTGAAAAGGGAATGAACAAAAGCACTTGATAATTAAAATGCATGAACTATACAAAACTGTAATGTAACTGAGGTATGCAAATACATAACTTGTGCAAATGGAGATTGTAGATGCTATTTATGTATTACCAGCTGATCTCTGTTCACTCCATACATCTATCAGCTCTCCAGGATCATCAAATCCATGTGAGGCAATGACCCACTTGTAGTTTTCTTTGTTATATGTCTTCCTATCAAAGTAAAACTCATTATGATGGAAGGGTGTGAGTCCAGCCTTCTTGGCAGCCATTCCCAGGAATATGTCATCAAAACGGAAGTAGTTTGTGTATATGCAACCAATGTAAAGATACTCCAAACTTTTCCTGGACAGCACATATGCACCTGCTGTAATATATGGTGGCCAGTGTGAATAAGGATATTCATCTAATGAGACATACCACTTGTTGAAAATCCACCTTATGGGAAGAGAATTGTTGAAAACATAACCAGCATACAAGAAATCTTTATATTCATTTACTGCTGATACTACATATTTTTCCAAATACTGTGGGTAATTTGCTGGATCCCGGAGAAACCGAAGCATGTTTCTGGTTGACACATAGTAGTCATCATCAACAAAAAGAAAATATTTAACATACTGGCAATGCTGGTATGTCCAATGTATCCCCATCATTGCCTTTAGAGTGTTGTTATAATAAGAGTCAATAAAATCAGCTTGTATGATGTCTTTGTATTCCTCTGCTTCTTTGTCAACTCTCTCCTGCAGATGGGGCTCACTTGGTCTTGTTCCCAAAAGAAATACAGTTCTAATTTCCACATCAGAGAACCTGCCTTCAAATCCCCATGAGTTTCGAATTCCTTTCCTCTTCTCAAAGTTTTGGACAGCTGACTTTACAATGTACATCAATCTAATGGAATCCTGAGTTTCACACTTTTCTGTATTGGAATGGATATATGTGTGAGTGAACTCATTGACCGGTTTCTGTGCCACTTCTTCTCCCGCTCTCATCTTCTCCATGATGGGATCGAGGGAGAGTAGTGGGCCCCAGTGGGTGTAGTGCTTGGAATATGACCATGCTAGAAAGTACTGGTACAGGCCAGAAAAATACAAAAAGGCCAAGAGGCACAGCAACCACCCCCATACACATGAGCATCTTCGTCTTGACAAAGCCATCCTCATTTTGCCTCTTCGCCTGAAAGAAATAGATAATATTGTTGTTATTCTTCTTTTATCAATAAGGAAACAAATAAATATTTTCTTACAAATATAAATATAAAACAAAAAGTTGGATCATAAAATGAAAGAATTACTTTTTTTTTTCCAAACTATGAAATAAATTATACAGAAATGAAAGGGACAATGGTTAATTGTTGAAACAAATAAATGTCCTAGACATCTAAGGTCATATAGCATTATGGTTAACTATTATAGCGAAAAGGGTGAATGCTTTAACGATTAGTATAAAGTGTGTTAAATGGCAAAAGTTATTGTGTTATAGGATAGCATGATAGGTAAAAGGGTAAACTTGGGGATGCAAATGATGTAAATCAGACATTAACAAAGGAAAGGGTTACGGGTATTGGGTAACTGGATGGAATGGGGTGCATCTGTTGTTGGGGAAGCTATAGTAACATTGTTTAAAGGAAAAACTGGTAAGAGCTGTTATGCACTAATCAATGGGAAATACAGATAGAGATGGCTGTTGGAGAAGTATCAGGAGAAGAGTCTTGGGGATGAGATAAGGGGACTGGGGAAGAAGGTGAAGTATCAGGAAGTGCATCAGGAAGGGAAGAATCTGGAGGAGGACACTGTTGCGACAGAGGGGATTCATGTGAGTATCCAGATGGGTGAGGTAAGAATAATGGAGAACGAAAAGGAAATGGTGTACGCAGAGAAGGAGAGATGGAGTAGAAAGTTTAGGTTGTATGGTGCGACGTATAAAGTGAGGGGGTAAGTATCGGAGTAGTGACAGAGATTGGAGTATCTGGATTTAGAATGGAAAAGGGATTTGACTGGGGGATACAGAAAGTAGAGGTAGAATGGTTCAGGGTAGAGGGAAGAGATACTGTGGGAGATGCAGAACCATCTTATGGAAATGGGGGGGGGAGGGGGTACATCATCGTTGTGCTTCCTGTCTAGCCTCATGTAGAATGAAGCCTAGTTTGAATCTGAGAACTGCTACCTCACATCTGAACTTATAGGCAGGGCAGATCCAATAAAATACATTATGGGAGCCATCACCACCACATACGTGCTTGAGCAGGGCAATTTGAATGATCATGATCAGGTTTGACATATAAAGGGCAGTGGGCTGTGGGGTGACAGTGTTTGGCTGGGTGGCCAAAACACCAACATTTCCGACATGAGGAAGGGGTCGATATGGTTGGACATGGTAGGACAATCCACCAATATGAACTTCTTTGGGGAGGTAATGTCTATGGAAGCCAATCTTGGCAATATTAACATGGAACTTACACTGGCCTCTGGGAGGATTAGTGTAGCACTGTACTGCTACTGCATCATAATCAGCAAGGCAGGTAAGTAGGTCATTTTCACAATCTGACCAGTTTTTGCTATGTATGGGACAATCAGTCAGGGGGATAGAATCAGTTCCAGTACAAGTATTAAGAGAGCGGTGAGGTTCAGCAGGAATGGTTTTGCCAGTAAGGTCACTTAGGGTAAATAGTGCAAGAGCTTGTGATTCTAATGTAATTATGGCTAGACATGAACAATCAGAGGGCCTGTGGGGGATTCACAAAGAATGGATCCATTTGCTGGGAAGAAAGTACTCAAAGCTTTGCATAGTAGAGGTAAGAAGAAGTGAAGAAAATGGGGTTGTGTAGAGTAGACTTCTGTGAAGGGGTAGAAGGGTGAGAGTAGTGATAAGGAAGAGGGGTAGCCATTGAAGAAGACTGTGCAGGAGATGGAGAAGAGAAGAAAAGTTGTCAGTAAACGTCTAGGAAGAGGTATTAGCATCAGTGGTCAGAGCCACAGCCAAAGGAGGGGCAGGGGTAGGAAAACCAATAAATTCAAATTTAGATAAGTTAGTTGATGAAAAGGCAAACCTTAATGAACCTAATTGGGGTAAAAAAATCTTCATTACTGGCCATGGTGAGCCTGAATAAAATAAGGAAAAGAAACGGTCTACCCCTCAGGGTACCATTAAGGGGTAAGGGCTTGGTAACTAACCAAGGAAATACCGTGCCCATGGCTCCCGATGGCCGTTCATGACTGTCATAAAACTAGCCTTTCATCCTTTCAACACAGCCCTCACACCTTAGGAATGGTGCAGAAGAAGAGGATGAAGAAGATACGGAAGATGAAAGGAGGAGAAGAAAAGACAAGCAAAATTAGTTGAGGCGAGGGATGAAGTTCGAGGTAGGGGTAATCCCTACATTGGGCTCGTCTCCGTCTCCTAAGCGCTCCCCATGACAACAACGAATAAGGTATCGGAAGGGACAAAAAATATAAATAAACATTAATAAAGAATCTTACAAATTTAATGGAGACACAAGAGAAAGATTATACATCTAACTCACATAAATAAAGCAATGATTTCAAATGACTTTTTTTTTTTTTTTTTAATGGTTTTATTACCCTTAAACCCTTTACACATTCTTTCACACTAAGTCAATAAATTTGAATTTTAATAACATACAACATAAAAATTTTACTATAAAATTTTGTAGTAGACATGTATAAGATGTATTTTAACCTGATAATAACAAATCTAAAAGAGCCTCATACTGGCGAGCTACTGCAAAGAAAAGAAAAAGAAAAAGAAAAAGAAAAAAAAAAAAAAAAAAAAAAGAAAAAAAAAAAAAAAAAAAAAAAAATATATATATATATATATATATATATATATATATATATATATATATATATATATATATATATAATCAACAATCAAGGCAATGATGCAAAACATACCAAATACTGTAAATGCACTGCCAGAGATTAGTGTGTCCTTGCTGGGAGTCCTGCCGATGTTGGTATGACTGTGTCTGAACCATCTTCATTGAGCCATCCTGCAAAGAAAAATAAATGGGTTATGATAACTGCTTACATCATGCACAAAACAGATATAAAAAAAATAGTAAAGATATTAAATGTAAAATAAATAATAATGGAAAGGAATAAAGGGATTAATAAGATTTATTCATTATGTATAGTTTTTACATCTTCTTTTAAATATTTTTCTATTCCTTTTTACTAGTTTTACAAGCCCTTGTTGTATGGAAGGAGTTATTTTCATTTGAAATCTAGTTATTCTCTACATCAAAATAAACTATTCGTCTTACAAAAACATCACAAACATTCATTGATGTATGCACAAAATCTGTCGTTATGTTGTCTAATGCTGGGGACACAGCCCCCTTCAACTCCCCCATAGTACTGCCGCCCCCAACCCCAGCCCAGAAAAGCAAAGAATCCTCCATATATTCACAGCAGGCCTATGCACACAACTTCCATGTGGAAGCGGCATTGCCAAGTCTATTCGAGGCTCTCTAGTGCCGGGGGTTGGGGGGCAGCAGCCGCCCATGGGGGAGTCAAAGGGAGTACAGCCCCCTGCATTAGACAATATTGGTGACTGATTCTGTGCATATCACTTGCATTTTACCCTGCAATTTCCTTGGTACCTTTCATGCCTTCCCCTACTATAGCAGCCAAGAATGTGGGGGTTGGGGGCGGCTTACGTACAATAAATCCTATATAATTGCATTGTTGACAGTGAGAGGAATCAAACAATACTGAAATCCTCCCAATCTGTTATTCAGATGTGTTAGAAAAAAATTCCTCTAATATTTTGTTATTTGTCTTAAATTTACCTCTAAAGGATTATATAAATTTGGTTATTTTGTTGAAATACATATCATGTAAATTCAGTTAATTTTCGAGAGATTAATGAGAGAAATTACAAAGCTAAAATCATATTACTTTATAATCTACTTAACGAAGTCCAAGTTATACAAATGATTTGTCTCAAGCTTTAAAAAATACTGTCACTCTATAAGCATCCGAGCATATCTTCTTCCTTGTCTAAAAGGATTTCATAGACAATCCAAGTCCATTTAATAATCTAATAAATGTTTATGACAACAGACGCCAACATTACCAAGCCGAAAACACTTTGGGATAAAGGCCTCAGCTCACTTGTTTTTAAGCTCCTAAGGGCAGAGATATGGTGCCTTGACCCTTACCTATCCATTTTCCGGAGGTTTCGTGGTCTGTCAGTGCCATAATCGCCAAAAAAGACGAAAATTATGTAGGCCTAAGCGGGTCCTAGCAGACGGGTGCGGGAAGTCATGATTGTCCGATTCCGTGGAAAGGTGGGATGCGGGATATGCGTGTGGGTTTTATTATTTGTGGTGGGGGATTTTGGTAGATTTGGTTGACTTCCTAAATTTCAGTACTTTTTTATTTGCAACGCTTATTTTTCGGATATATAGTTTGATGTTAGTTGAATGATGTTCAGGGATGCCTTTATTTAATTATCGATGTGGAATGCGGCACTATCATGGTATAATTATTATTTTAATACTCCCTCATAATTTTACCAACAAAATTAACGATAATAAGAAACTTTAAATGTTACTGATACCATAATAAACATTTATCCTCGAATACGAAGTCACAGACGTGATCCAGGGTTGAAACGCTTGACCATCGACGCACCGTGGTAAACATTTTTCTCAATTATTCTTCTATTTCTGCTTCATATTTCGCATGTCTAAAAATACTGTCCATAAACGATTGTTCTAGAAAGCGGAACTAATAGTCCTATGCGTTTTTTGAGCTCATTGTACCGTCAGTTTCCCTTAAATAAGGATATTGTGTTTCCAAAATCGTGGTTGTATATCATGTGCTTTGCCGTCCATTTGGGATTAATGATCATATATTTGCAAGGTTTTCATGATTGATTTTGTGAGCAGTGTCGTTTTCAGTGGCGGACTGCAAATATTGCCATAGAAGAAAAGTGCCTTGGTTTGTATCGGTCTATCGAATTATATAGGTTTCATTACCCAACTCTTCCACTACCTCATACTGCATATTGTCGAAAAATGAAACATCATTTTACTACAATGCAAATATATAGCTTTTATTCCACGGTAGCTCCCTCAATCCCCACATTCTTGGCTCCGATAGCAGGGAAGAGCATGAAAGGTACCAGGGAAATTGCAGGGTAAAATGTAAATGATATACTCAAAATTAGTAACTATTCTGCCTAATACATGGGCTGTTCTCCCTGCATTCCCCAATGGGGGGCTGCCGCCCCAACCCCTGCCCAGGAAAACAAGTCCTCCACATATTCACATTAAGAGAGAGCATTGAACAGAATTGGCAGTGCCACTCCTGCATGGTGGTCATATGCTTGCATCTGGCATGAATATGTGGAGGATTCTTTGTTTTCTTGGGCTGGGGCTGGAGGGTGGCAGCCCTCTGCATCAGACAATATTGTTACTGATTCAGTGTATGTCATTGAAATTTTACCCAGCAATTTCCCTGGTACCTTTCATGCCCTTCCTTGCTATCATGGCCAAGAATGTGGGGGTAGGGGGGTTTCCGCACAATCATTTCTCTATATTAGGACAGTGAGAAGAATTCAATGATACCAAAATCATCACGATCTATTATGCGTACGTATTAGAAAAAATTAACTTAGGTTCATCCTTATTGTATTTTTACGACATTAGGTTGTGTTTATCAAAAATGTATTATTATGAAAAGGATGTAGAAATTGTGTAGATGAATATCTTTAACAACTGGGTAATCCTTGAGCTAAGGACCACATCCTCATGAGAATGGTGATTGCTGTGGCCCTCTGGCAAATACCAATACCACAGTTACATAAGTATTGGCAAGATAGAGCTCATAGTGGTTCTATATTTTAAAGATAGATCCCCACATTTAAGTATAAGTCTTGTCTTACCAATATGTGTGTTGGCTTGGCATCCTTTTAAATTGCTCTCAGATTATTTCTGATGAGCAAGTGTGAGCATAGCTTGTAATTTTTGTTCAGTTAGAGATATATACCTCATAGTGTTATATTGTGTTTTAGGTAATTCTTTACAGTATGGATGCACTCGCCAGAGATAAAGTCCCCAACTCCATTTCAAAAAATTTATTCATCAATCTAATTTATAGGGAGGTTTGATTAGGGCTTTGCCTCCCAATACCCCCTGGGAAACAATGTGTTCACCTCAGTGTGCATGGCAAGATACAGCTGAAACTCGGGAGCACTGAGTGGACTTAGGCTGAGAGCTGAGCTTTCTGCGATCTTTTTCCTTTCCCAGATATTCCAATCCTCCTCACTTTACCATCTTCACTCCATCTTCTACCACATCCTCTCCTATACCCTCCTCTTCCTCTGCTCTTTGGACATACATCCCCCTTTCTCTTTCCTCACAAGAGAACCTTTGTGTCTCAAACCTCTTCACCCAACGCCCTTCCAGTAGCTCTTGAGGATATCCAAAACTTCTTAAACATGAAATGTATGTATGTATGTATGGATGTGTGTGTGTGTATATGTATATATATATATATATATATATATATATATATATATATATATATACATATGTACATACATACATACACATACACATACATACATACACATACACATACATACATACACATACACATACATACATACACATACATACATACATACACATACATACATACACATACACATACATACATACATACATACATACATACATACACATACATACATACATACACATACATACATACATACATACATACATACATACATACATACATACATACACATACATACATACATACATACATACATACATACACATACATACACATACATACACACATACATACATACATACATACATACATACATACATACACATACATACATACACATACATACATACATATACATACATACATATACATACATACATACATATATACATATATACATATATACATACATACATACATACATACATACATACATACATACATACATACATACATATATATACATATATACATATATACATATATACATATATACATATATACATATATACATATATACATATATATATATATATAATATATATATATATATATATATATATATATATATATATATATATATATATATATATATATATATAGCCTATAAAGTACTCATGTTTGAGGAGTTTGTTATATCTGATGACCTGAACTGGAATAGACAGTGCAAAGTATCTTCTGGATTTTAGTTTTTAACTTCTTTTAATTTCTCAAAGCCTGTGAAGGTCAGGCTGGTCAGTATGATATAATTTTTCTTGGGATATGATATATGCAGGCACTGATGATATTTCCCTTCCTCAGGAGTAGGAGAACAACACCATGCCCGCAGTACCAGCAGGGAACTACTACCAGCAGGGTCAAGGTCCCAGCTGTTGGGATCGTGTCAAGCTTGGATTTATGATGGGTTTCTCAGTCGGCATGGCAACAGGGGCCCTGTTTGGTGGTTTCACAGCTCTTAGGTATGTTACTTATGGATGGTCTGTTGTTATTTCCATGACTTGCATAATAAACACTAATGGTTAAGTTTTTTTAGTTTATTATATATATATATATATATATATATATATATATATATATATATATATATATATATATATATATATATATATATATATATATATATATATATAATATATATATATATATTTATATATATATATAGTGATAATACGTAAGATCAGCCTTTTGGAAATGGTCCCTTTTTTATTGGGGGAACAGATGATATAGTGTATGTAAACCTATGAGGTTGAGGAAAATTATGATTTACTAAAGGTATTCCTTCTATTTCAGATATGGTCTACGCGGCAGGGAGTTAATGAATAATGTAGGGAAGGTTATGTTACAATCAGGTGGAACTTTTGGTACTTTTATGTCCATTGGAGCTGGAATCAGATGTTAGCAAACCTGTCCTAGATTTTTCATGTGTTCTTCATTTAACCTGATGTAGCTATGGTGTTTTCCTGTGACCTAGGTGGAGTATTGAATAAGCTCTCCTTGCAGAGTGTGGGACTGCTTCATGTAGCAAATGATTAAAATTTACTTTCATATTTACCCATCATTATCATTGTTCCAAGAACAAATCTTATTTTTTTGTTTTTATTTACAGAAATTACTTTCATTATCCCTGTTAAACATTTATTTGGACAGCTCTTTTATTTTTGTAAGAGGGAAAATACAGGTCAAAACCTCTAACAGGGGCCTCATTATGTAGGGATATTACTTTTATGAAAAAAGATCATGGGCATGTCTGCAACTATATTAGATTACTACAAAGAAACGTTGTGTTTTCATTAGGTTTTATATAAGATATTATAAAACTTGTTAGCATAGCACAACACTGTTATTGTGGCTATTACCATGCTCTGATTTGATTTCAACCTTTTTGAGGGAGTTCTCCTTCAACATTGGCTTCTGCCATTGTGTAAATAAACAGTAAATAGCTGTTGCTTCAGTGGATTATATATATATAATAGGTATTACCATTTGGAATATGTAAAATAGGATAATGAATAAACTGTCTTGTATATAATAAAATGTTTATTGACCTGACATTAAGCATTATCACTTAAAAAAAGAGGCCAAATGTTCTTGTTAATTATCATTTACTTATAGTTATAGTAGCATATGTATAGCAGGTTCGTAGAGTGACTGGATGCATGCACACACACACACACACACACACACACACACACACACACACACACACACACACACACACACACACACACACACACACACACACACACACACACACACACACACACACACACACACACACACACACACACACACACACACACACACACACACACACACACACACACACACACACACACACATATATATGTGGTTGGAGTAGCATTTTGATTTTATGCCTTGTATTGACAGTATAACTGAACACAAGTGACAAGATATGAGGAAAATCAGACCACTCCATTTTTTCTGTATTTAACAAGAAAAACTATTGTGAAGTGATGCCTTATGAAGGCAAAGAATCTTGGGTATTCTGGACCATGTTTGTCCAATTCAAAAATATTTTAGGGGATTATGGAATAATTGTGATTGTATATTTTCTAAAGTAGGCCACAAATTTAAGTTTTTTTCTTCTTTATTTACTTTTTTATTCCCCCCCCCCAATCTCTTCCCTTGTTGTCATGGAGGGGGAGGGGGAGGGGGCTTAGGAGGTGAGGACTGTGATGCAATGCTTGGGATCTCCCCTACCTGGACCTCAGCCCTCAACTCGACAAATTCTGAACGGTCTTTTTCACCTCCTGCTTTTTCGTTTCCATTCCTTCTCCAACCCCTTCTACTATCCACTTCCTAAAGTGTAAGAGCCGTGCTGAAAGGATGAAAGGCTGATTTTGTGCCAGTCCTGAATGGCCTGAGGGAGCCATGGGCACGGTATTCCATTTTGTCTAGCCCTTACCCCTCAATGGGACCCTGAGGGGTGGACTGTTTCTCTCCCCAACATAGTCTAGGCCTACCATGGTCAGTAATGAAGACGTTATACCCTTGTTATGGGCAGTGAGGCTTGCCCCTTCATCAAATAACCCCACCAATTCAAACTCTCCCGGTTCCTCGACCCCAGGCTCTTCTTTGATCATGACTCTGAATACTACAACTATTACTGACTCCTCAATGCCTACTAGTATTTTATCCACCCAAGTCAAGACTCAATCTCCAGGAGACATTCCTGCTTTCCTAACATTTTCAACTTCATCGCCTCTACCCCCACAACCTTCATCAATCAACCCATTCTCCCTTATTACTACTTTACAGCCGTATTGTCCACCTCTCCGTAATACTACATCCCTCAACGCAACTTTCTCTTCCACACGTCCCCGTCCTTCCACCACCCCCATCTCTACAAATATCTTAATTAAATACCCTATTTAGCCCAGCCAAATAGGACCAATTTTTTTTCATCTTCCCTACAGCTCCTTATTCTGACAAAACACTTCTCTCAGCAATGTCTCCACAGACAAGTAGGCAAAGTCTTTTCCTGTAGCCGATCCGATCGTTCTCATCTCGTCACAGTTACATCCCAAACCGAAGATATAGCATTATCAAATCATAAGTGATCACTATGGTAACCCCGTTCCTGCAGAACCTCATCCAACCCTCAATACTTGTAGCGAAACTGTCCATCTCCCCAGCAAAGTGCCCAATTTATAACAAATATTGGTCAGATTGTGGAGAAGACTTCTTCGCCTGCCTCACGGGCTATGATGTAATATCAGTACAGTGCTACTCCATTCCTCCAAGACATCATCGTAAGAACATCCTCCCCGTCAATGTTAAAATTGTTGGCGTTTAGGGACATCCTGCCAAACACTGCAGTTCCATATTTCGATGTTCTCTGTGCGCCCAACCTGGTCATAACCGAGCAAACTGCTCTGTACAGTCACGTCCATGTGCTAGCTGCGGCGTACCCCATAATGTATTTTATGAGAATGTTTACAATGATGGCTCCAAATGCACCGGTGCTGGTTTCGCAATAACCTTCCCAACTCGCACTTTCAAATACACCATCCCACCTGAATCTAGTATCCTTACTACAGAACAGTACGCTCTTCTGTTTGCTTTAAAAACATATGCTCACCCCCGTCCTCCTCTCACTATTTTTACAGACTCCCGTAACTCATTAACTCTGATAAAGTCTATGCACTCGACCAATGCCCATGTCTGTAAGATCCAGAACTGGTTGTTCGACCTATCCACACGCCATAAATCCATCAGATTTTGCTGGGTGCCCAACCATGTTGGAATTCTCGGCAATGAACAGGCAAATACCTTACACCCATTATCACACCAACCACTTTTTTTCACGCACACCAGTTACAGACTTTTCCCCCCACTTTCAGACCCTGTATACCCGATGGCAATCTTTCTGGTCAAGTCCCCCTGGTCAAGTCTCCGCACTAAGAAATTACATACTGTAAAACTATCAATCTCCTCTTGGTCAGCTCCACTTCATCGGAGCAGACATTCGGAGACGGCTCTCGCACGCTTAAAAGTATTGGCCATACCCGTTTAAAACACTTCCATCTGATGTCACGTTCTGATCCGTCCCTATGTTACCTATGTTATGTCCCTCTTTCAGTTCCACATATTCTGTTGTCCTGTCCACTCTGCTGCTTGAACCCTACCTCTGCTTCCCCCCACCTGTCCTCCCTTTACCGACCTCCCAACCCATCTGAACTCCATACTTTCTGCATTGACAACCTGTTCTCCTTTCTCCGACGCATACATATCCTTCATTTGATCTACTTCCTCTACCTAACCCGACCTTAACCCATTAATCCATCAACTCCTTTACCCTATTACTCTAGATAGCTGACGTATAGCAATTAACAACTAACCCAACCACATTCATTATACCTTCCTATAGTCCTACATGACCTTAGATGTCTAGTACATTTATTTTGCTTTTAACATTAACCATTCTTTTTAAGATGTTATTGTAAACATGATATAACACTATTTAGAAAGTCTAGCAGAGCATTGCAGCCTTGTTTCAGCATCCCAAGCAGAATCATAATTTTGGGAAGTATATGATCTGCTCTTATATATCCTTGTAAGTTAATTCAGAGAGAATACAGTACCTTCGTCAGCAGTCTTATTTTGGCAAATGGTTTCAGTGGCAACCAGACCCCTTCTAAAAAGACGTGGCAGTGTGTCAGCCATCAGTCACCCAGCCCCAAGACATATGCAACACGACATACCATCAGAGGTAGATAGCCTGTTTCTTGAGCTCTCTACATAAACAGGTAGCACTGTCTACCAGCAGAGTTCAGGCAAGTCAAGAAGGCAAGTCAAGGAACTCTTGCCAATACTCGCTTAAACTTCGCAATTCAAGTACTGAGTCAGTACGTCAAAATAAAGAATTCAAATAGATATGCAGTATATCTATGATTTTTTTTTTTTTATCTGTCAAATTCTAGGGTATCAAAATCCCGTCAAAAGCCCCATATTGAAAATTGCATGGTACCTAAATCTCCATTCAAAAAGGATTTGGTACCCATAAAAAACCATAGATATTTTGTCACTATGTCATTTTGTTCAGTGAGAGATACCTCCATCGGGGAGAGCTTCCCTAAAGCAGCTTGCAAAGTCATGGGGATATCAATGGAACAAATTAATATGTTTATGTTTATCCTTACACATTATGCCAAGCATCCGTAACTGGCCCATCTACCGTCTTTGACATTAGCCTAGTAACTCTATCCCTTGCCTGAAGGTCTTTATTAACATGAACTTTTGCCAATGATCCAACCAAATCAGAGAACCACCGCTCCAAGATAATGAAGCAGGATAATCAAAAATTTACATCCGGGAAGTCCTGCATGTTCCACAAGCATTATACTGATTGGCGTGCTCAGTAGAATAAAAAATGAACATATAAAAACATAAAATATTTCAGGAAGCCTCATTCACGCAACAATCACAAGTGAGCAAAGCAATTCTCAAGATACCGTAGCATATTACAGGGTGGATCTCAAGAATCACGGAGCATCTTCATACATATTACATCATTATGGATCAATATTAACTATTAACTAAGAACTATTGCTAAAAGAAACATTCTATGATATTAAATCATACTTAAATAAACAATATTTTTTCATCAATTAAAATCAATCTAGTAGATAGATCGTTTGTAGCACAAGATTGGAAAACAAAACAAATGATACGATACCTCAAATCCATGCGGAAGTGAGAAAAATGGCGGGAAAACGTTACTGATGATAAGGCCATTTGATAGTTTCCTGTAACATCTGTGTGTGTATGTATGTGTGTGTGCGTGCGTGCGTGTGTGTGTGTGTGTGTGTGTGTGTGTGTGTGTGTGTGTGTGTGTGTGTGTGTGTGTGTGTGTGTGTGTGTGTGTGTGTGTGTGTGTGTGTGTGTGTGTGTGTGTGTGTGTGTGTGTGTGTGTGTGTGTGTGTGTGTGTGTGTGTGTGGGTGTGTGGGTGGGTGGGTGGGTGGGTGGGTGGGTGGGTGGGTGCGTGCGTGCGTGCGTGCGTGCGTGCGTGCGTGCGTGAGAGAGAGAGAGAGAGAGAGAGAGAGAGAGAGAGAGAGAGAGAGAGAGAGAGAGCGGAACTCCATTGTTAGAACACAGATCTCGGTGCTGTCGGATTTCCTTCCAAGTTGATCTTTTAATTAACTATGGATATCCGTCCCCTTGAAAAAGTTGATTGTGATGTCGCACGGACGCGATGTGC